AAAGTTCAATTAACGTAATTCTTAAATCATTGGAAGGATAAAAGGCAGAGTTATAACTTTCATATTCATCATTTTACCCAATTCTACCCCGAAGGAGAAAAATGCATCATAGTGCTAGAAAGCTAACGACGTGGTGTTATGGGTTTGTAAAGACACTTTTTCGAAGATGGGAGTCTGAATTGGACCAAAATTATGTTTGTGAGCCCTATAAATACACCTTATGAAGCCAAATTGAAAGGAGGCAAGAGGTAATCAGTTTTTAGGTTATTTTAAGAGAAGATTAGCCACCAAAAACTCAAGAAAAGCAAGATCAACCATGGAAGATTGAAGATTACCAATCTCTAGTTTTCTTTCTCTCTTTAGTTTTCTTGTTTCTTTTGTTTGAGATGGTTAAGGTCCATTGTTTTGTGTTCTTTATTTTCAATTATTAGTAACTAATCTTTTTTCTAAGATTGCAATTGAACTTATATATAGTTAAATTTTTAATCTCTTTCTTGCTTATTTTCAATAAAATTGAATTCTTTATTCCAATTTATTCTTAATGCCTTTCATTGCTTGATCACCAATTAAAATTGATTTGGAAACCTAAACATAACTTGAGAAAGGGAGTTTAGAGTAGGCTAAAATTGAAATAGTATATGATTATATTTGCTTGCTTGGATGAATAAGTTGATTTGTGTATAGGATAAGAATATACCTATATGTCGTATGTAGTTAGGATTAGAGCTTGAACTTAAGGAGTCTATTTTAATTTCAATACACATAAAGATATAGTATTTTGATTAAAATAAATATTTTTATAAGAGCTTTAAAAGAGCCTATAAATACTTAAAGACTTTAGGTTAGAAATTCAACCCACTGAAATAAGTAAAAAGAAAGGGAGGTAAGATTTAGATCCAACAAGAATGATATTGTCATCTTAGGTTTGTTTGAATTGATTTTTCTCTCGTACTGTTATTGCTTTGATTTTTAGTTTAGTTCTTGTTAATTAGATTTAGTTAATTTTTAGTTTAATTAATTATTTGATTTTGATTATTTAGATAAGACTAAATTGAGTTAATTTTAGTAGTTAATGAAATTCTAGATCAATTCTCTATGAAATCGATATTCTGCTTATCAATATATTTTCTGTTCGGTACATATATTTGTGTAAGTAGAAAATTAGACGACAATGGCCAAGTTGAGAGAATTTTTCAAAAGAAAGAAAGAAAAAAATTTTTAAAATGAAAACTTATATTTTATATAGTAGTAAATTTTAAAATTGATAAAGGGTGAAATTGTCTTAAAAATAATACTACATCATCAAACTAATAGAAATATTGAAGTTTGATTAACAACCGGACTTATGTGTCCAACAAAAATATTCTTTTAAGGTAAACTGTCTATTTTGAAAATTCATAGATTGTAATTATAACCAAACTTAAGGGGTCATTGTATTTTTATTTTTATTTTTTTGAAAAAACTAAATGATCGAATGTTGTTATATATCTTGTTGCACCTCGTTGTAATATGACAAATGGGCACACGCAGCCAAAAAAGTAACACAAAAAGACATTACCTTCACAAGGCAAGAAGACCTTATTATTCTTGCTCTTTCAGAAAACTTTTGAAGTTATCCAATATGTTGAAAGTGCTTTGGACTGAAAATCCTAATAGGCTTAATACATTCAACCTTCATCATTTAGATACAAAACCGCTAGATACCATATGCATCAAAAAAACAACGTATCATCTTTAACAGCAGTTCAATGCCGCTCAAAAGAAACTACCGTCCTCATATTCTGCCTCTAGGACCTAGTCAGCACCTCCTGCAGAACCTCCTTGCGCACCACCAGAACCATCAAACATGAGCTCCCCAATCTTTGAGACAGCTTTATTCGCTACATCAATCTTGGCATTAATCTCATTAACATTTTCGCCTTCCATTGCCTTCCTCAAATCCGCAACAGCATCCTCAATTTCATTTGCAATTTCAATAGGAATCTTGTCCCTGTACTCATTCAAGCTCTTTTCTACGCTATAAATAGTGGTGTCTGCATTGCTTTTGATATCAACAAGAGCTTTTCTTTGTTGGTCTTTCTGGGCATGCAACTCAGCTTCCTTGACCATCTTCTCAATCTCATCTTTAAAAAACCACATGACGAACAGATGGTAATCTATAGTTCTTTCCCAGTGGCCTTGTCTTTGGCAGAAACAGTGACAATACCATTAGCATCGATGTCAAACATCACCTTAATCTGAGGCATGCCTCTAGGAGCAGAGGGGATGCTTACCAATTCAAACTCACCCAAAAGCCCGTTGTCAGAAGCTGTTTCACACTCACCTCGAAGTTCCTTGATACCTACTTAAGTGTGGTTATCTGTTGCAGTAGAGATCTTCGATTTGGGCACTAGAATTATTTTCAAGGTGAGAGGTCCCTACAATCGTGACAGTAAGGATCTCTAGTAACAGGAATGGGGAGGGATATTTGAAAAGTTAGGAAATGGGCAACCTGAGATCTCTAATGGCTAGTATGCAGTCAAATGACAAGAGAATGAAAAACGAGCATGATTTCGAGCCACAAAAGGACTGTTAGCTTTAACAATTGACCTTAAGGTTTGAATTGACTTAGACAAATTATCAAAATTGTAAATACATGTTCTTCAAATATATTCTAAGTTCCAATGAACCTTGTAGTAAAATGGCTAAATGTTTGGACAAGTTTAAATGTCAAAATAGCTCATAAATAACATTTTTAAGACAAGATTTGCTAAATAAGTATCGATACATTCAAGACAGAAACCATTCTATCTTGGAAGTATCGATACCCAACATGAAAGCATCAATACTTTTTAAACCAAAACCATTATGTTTAAAAAGTAAGATAGCCAATGAAAAAGCATCAATGTATTTTATATAGAAACCATTCCGTCTTAAAAGTATCAATACCTAGCAAGCATCGATACCTCATTCATATCATGCATCATGTATCGATACTAACCCCCATGCTTCAATACCTTGTTACCTGGGGAGTCAAAGATCAGAAGTCAAATTTAAAAGTATCGATACCTAAAAGAATAATATAAATACATTTCAAACAGAAAGCATTTTGACTTGAAAGTATTGATACCTCAATGAGAAGTCTCAATATCCAAAAAACCCAAGAAACAAAGTATTGATACCCAAGCAAAAAGTATCAATACCTCAAAACTATCAAGCACGAAAAAGGCACAAATAATGCCTATTTTTTGTACAAATTCATTTGAACTCCCAAGGGCATCTAAACTATAAATACAAGTTTTCAACTTGATTTAACACATGAGAAGGCATTGAAAAATATTTTTTTGAGTAAAAAGAGAATCATCCTCAAAATTATCAAATTCTCTCTCTCACTTTTTTATCAAATTCTCTCTCTCACTTTTTTATCTTCTCATTGTATAAATCATTCTTTAGTGATATTCCTTATAAACATCTTGTACTTACTGAAACTATCAACCTTATAGTGGCATGAGAGCTTTTATATCTTTACTCTCATATTGCATTGATAGCTTCTATCTCATATTGCATTGATAGCTTCTATCTTAACATTCAAAAGGTATTGTTGTTTGGGTATACGTTAACCAAGGTAAAGGAGTTAAGTCTTTAAGTCTTAGCTTTGAACAGATTTAACGTAAAGGTTGTGGTCCATTCTTAAAAAACCAGTTGATATGCTCAATTACAAACCCCTTAGTGAACTAAAGGGAAGAATGTAAGTAAAGAGCCTGATCCTCTATTAAACAATTGTGTCTAGATAGATTTTCTTCCTTCTAACTATACTTTTTATTTTCAAAAACAAATTTTTTTAAAAAAGTTTTTTTATCTGTGAAGGTTCTTAAAGAAAAGGGTTTTTAAAAATCAAAGCTTCTTGAGTTTTAAGTTTAAAAAATTTTTAATATTCAATTCACGGGGACACAAGCATGCAAATGAAAGCCAAATATGGAAATATTTCTTAAACACACGAAGAAGACACTAGGTTGGAAGAGCTTTTAACATGGAGGGACCTGCGTTAAATGACAAGGCATCAAGGCTAGAGGAAACAAGCCCGGAAGCCTACGTAACTCGAAAGCCTCCTTGCATGAAGTGAATATGGTGGATTCGGGTTCTCCATGTTAGAATAGCAGACCAATGGATCTAATAGGTAGATCGTGAAGCCCAAAATGTGTTAAGGCAATTGAGCCTGACAAAATGGCCGAAGTTTCTGGGCTGTTTCAAATTAAAGAGCGAACGGGCCTTGGTGAGGCAAGAGGATCGACGGATGGCTTGGCTATAAAGCGCCGAGTAATTGAACGATTGAACAAAGGCACCAATTCCGAAAGTGAGAGAGAATTGGGTGACCGGTTGGGTGAGGATGGTGAGAGGATTGGCGATGCTGTCAAAAAAAGAGTAGTCATGTCCCAAGAATATGTAATTTTTAAAGGGGAAGCGGCATGAGGGGGGAGGGGGTGGGTTTAACCGAGCAAGAAGTAGAAGAAGAAAGAGAGCTAGGTGCGGATAGACCTAATGAGAAGTTTGAAGTGGAAGGAGTATGCGGAAACAGAGGAGGGACCAAGTGGCGGTAAGGGAAGAAATAAGAAGCTGGTGAAGAGGGAGGGAGAGAGGCAAAAAACCAAAGAAAATAAAGAGGAGTCGATTGTTAACCAATGGGGACATAGAAAATAGAAATCGGGTTCTTTGATTGAAAGCTGTTGAAACTTGAATGGTGGATAAGAAACTTGGTTTAATCAATTTATAAGATGATGAAAAAGGGCTCATAGAGGAGTTTGTCAGAGCCGAAGATTGTGGTGAGCAATAAACAAGTTTGGGTGATGGCATAATTTTCCCTTTTCAATCATAGGATGAAGTGAGATCGGGGAAGATATGGCGAGGAAATTTCGGGTACCTCTTTAAATACATGTGTGAGATTTTATACAGAAATCATTGATAAATACAATCATAGGTATAGCATTGAAGCTACCCTGGAAAGTATAGCGCTTGGATACACCTTTTGACACGTCATATTAAGCCATTACATATATATGGATAGAAACATTGAAGTACACAAATGGACAAAAACATTAAATAAGAACAAAGAGCAAGGGAACATACATACATACATACATACATACATATATATATATATATATAAAACATCGGTGAACGGCTGCAGTAGGGATAAGATCACCACCACACTGAAAACCTGGAATCCTTACCGCAAAAGAAAAAACAAACTAATGGGAAGAGGAAAAATAACCACCATAGAATTGAAAGCAAATAGATGTAGGCAAGAACATGAAAATAAGCAAACTTCTGGTATCCATCATGCACTTGAAGCAGCCCGGGATATGGGCTTGAACAAGGTTGAACTGAATCTGATTCAGAACCTTCAGTTCATATGATCAGGCTTGTAGCACCTGAGAATCTCCCTTATCTCAGCCTAGTTATAGCTGGAAGCCTGGAAGATATTTCACATTCATTGACACATTCAGTATTTCAACTATTTGAGTTACCACATCCAGGAGTGATTAACTTGTTAACTGCAGATGCTGCCGAAGTAGAAGCCTTCCCTAGGCTTCGTTCATTGCTAGTTGTAGTTTTTATTCATCCATTGAACCCGGAAAAAAAAAGTATGAAATAAAAATCACCTCAGATTAATTTTATGGAGCCTCTTCATCAAAAAGAACTTTATAAAATCGTTTTCTCTCCTCAGGATCAAATAGACCTCCTAACTTATCACCACTGTCATCTTGGTCAGACATCTCAGCCCTCCCATCTTTCCTTCTCACTGCCTTTACCAAATTCATGCCTTTCTTTTTCTTCTTCTCCAAATTCACTGAATAGCGCCTCTGATTATATTCATGAAGACCCTCCTGCATCAATTCTCCAAATTTATTCTTTACAGTGACTAGTGGATCCTTATGAACCAATTCTGGACCATTATAGCCTTCTCTAAGGAGCACAGTGTAAATCTGATACTTGTTTGATACATAAAATATTCCTGGGTGCTTGAGCAACAAAACATTCAATTTCTCAGGTAAAGCAAACTCTCTCTTAAAATGGCCTAGCTTTAAAATTGATAACTTCTTCCACAGGGTCAATGACAACAACTCATGCACAACGCCCACTATTCTCTTCTCCATTTCCTTTGATCCCATCTCTAAACTCCTAGAATTTGAATAAGGCGAGATATAAGGCATTGCATTAAATTCTTGAAACCTCTGCCATGACTTAACCCAAGTTGAAGGCAATGAACATGAAAAACAAGGCTCCAAACCCTGTTTCTGAGCTGAAGCTTCAACAGCAGAAACTGCTAAATCAGGGCTCCATGCCAGAAGTTCAATTTCCATTGAACTCTTCCTCCAACTACTATTAACAAGTCGAAACATATCTGGGTACTTAGGTAAGATTCTAATGACATAGTCATCTGGAAATCCAAAACTGTGTTTTAACTCGTTAAGTTTCATAACATTAAGCCTCTGATTCATACTTATCATTAACAACTTTGCCAATTTCTGCACAAATACTGGCTCCTGCATATCTTTTACTGATTCTTCCTCTTCAACCAAATGCATCATCCGCTTTGTTAATCTACAATGATACTCATCGTTCTCAAGATAAACTTCAAAGCAACAGGGATACTTCCTGAGCCAATTGAGAGCTTTGCCTTGAAGATCAAGAGTCTTAAACTTCTTCTGAAGATGCTTCAAAGGTGTCACCTGGTTTGGGTATCTAAGTATTATGTTTTTAATCTGATTATTGACTATCCAACGACGATTTCGTGAAAGGGCTGATTCAAGAACTAGGTCTTTCTTCATTGACCAAAGAGAGAAGTTTCGGAAGTGATAAAGAAGGGAAGGCTGAGAGTACAGGCTACAATAGCAACAACCCAACCTCCGGAAAAATCTTTTACTGATCATTGCACTCAACTTAGCATGTCTCTTTTCCTCCAAGAACAGACCTGTTAAGAGCAAGGAAAAAAAATTAAAAAAAAATCATATTTAACTTTTCACTGCTGAAATTAGAAATCTAATGGAATGTAACAATTTGCCTAGAGAACACTTCAATGGTTGCTTACACCACTACTCTAAATACTTAATGCTGCAGGCATGGTTATGCCAACAGCCAATGTTCAAAAAACTTTTAAAAAATTGAGCCACAAAAGTCTAATTTGTGCTTTATGTAAGTGCAGAATAAACTTCCATTGAGCAATCCGATTTAATTACTTATTTTATGCCAAACTTCAAGCTAACCTTAAAATTTAAAAACAAAATTAAGAAGAAAGACAAATCTTACAAAAAGCTACGAATTAATGTCAACAAAGAAAGTTTTCAATTAAGATTTATCACTCTGGTAGAAAGAAAGGAAACCCAATGATATCAAACAAACTTATGGCAACTGAATGATTACTTTTTAATTTTATATGAAAGTAATTTTGAACAAAACAAAGCCATTTTCAGAAATTTAAAGTTGATGGCTTTAAATTTAATTAATACTGCTAGTAGAGATGATGGATCAACAACTTAGACTTATCGAATACTACTTCACATTCCAAACAAAAAAAAAAAAGAGGAAGGTTGTATGAATAGAATACCTTTGTCAAGTGTCTGAAATATCTCTAAAAGTCAGAGAACAAAAGCAACAACCAAATTATAAATTAGAAGACAGTTGTCAGTAGGAAGAAGACCAACCTGCTATTTTGATCATATACAGCACTCTGACTTATTGGATACAATCTTTTGTAACGCATATAATAGCAGCTTCACCTGCACTGAACAAGGAAAATCCAAGCAGACCATAGATATGAAGAAGCAAACAAAGAAAGGGGTAGATTTCATCAAGGAAAGACAATCAAATGGTTCTCATAGGCATTTTCACGAACACCCAATAGAGGAAACAATCAAATTTTCATGGGCACGTACATTTTCCTGAATGGCTAGATTGAGCCTGCAAAATAATCTTATGAAACTATTCATTCTGGCTGCTGTTTAGGTGAAGAATATGATAGAGTTTGCCGTGAATGTCTGAAAGAAAGAGTGAGAGAGACAGGGATAGGAAGAGAGGGAGATGGGTTCAGACTCGAGAGCGTCAGCACGAGAACTCAGTGATTCAGTTCCGGTGAAATAGTTCTATAATTTTGGAAAGACATAATAGTTAGGAATGTTATTCGAATAATTTTTTTTATTTTTATTATATTTAATAGAGTTTTTATAATTATATTTTAAATTAAATATATGTTTATTATTAAAAAATAATTAAATATTATTAATTAAAATATTACTTAAAAATATAATTTATTAAAATATCATATTAGATGACATAATTACATGTTTTTATTCTCTCATAAACTTAAGTGATATAAAAAAATCATAAATAATATTTCAATTAATAAAAACTACTTCAATCGTTATTATAAAATAAAAATATATATTTAATTAAATATAATAAAAAATAAAAAAATATAATTTTTAATTAATTTAAATTTTTTAAAAAATTTATTCATATTTTTTGGGATGGGATGGAAGTCCATACTTCACTAGTAGTATTCGCTCTCCTTTCCAATTTTTTTTTTCTTTATTTGAAAAATTAATAAAAACAAAAAAACATGAAAAAAATTCAATAAAAATAAATAAATACTAAAAAGTGTCTGACATTTTGAACGTCTAACCATCAGAAAACAAATCGATTATTATTGGGCGAAATAACATTGCGTAGAAGTAGTTTTTATTATATTTAATTAACGCAAAGTAAATATATAGTTATCACTAATTAAATATAAATATATAGTTACAAACGCAAAGTAAATTCTGAAATATGAAAGCTTATACAAATTGTTCTATTCTATATTGATTAGACATTAGTGAAAATTCCATGGCAGCAGTTGTGTATCTCTCTATCTTGACCCTTTCCTTCCTCTCTCTTGTTCCGATCCTACACGTTCCTCTCTGTGTCGAACCTTCTCCTGCGTTGACCTCCTTCATCAGCAATCCCCACGAAGCCACGATCCCAGCTAAACCTCTACAACCTCCTCTTCTCCCTCATGTTCTCCATTTTATCTTTACACCTCTCTGCCAGCAAATCTCCCTCTTTCCTTTCTGTTGCCAACGATAGCCATCCATCATAGACCAACAAGTTGCAACAATTGAAGCTTTGTTGCTGAGAGCTTTACCGTCGATGGAGACCTGTCAACCCAAAAGAAAAATAAAAAGAATAAAAAAAATCTATGTTCATTGTTGACTTCTTTATTCGAGTTATTGATTTTATTTGTATCTTATAACTTTATAATATTATAGATGTTTAAAACAGAACTTGGCTTATTTTTTTCTTTTTCTTGTATGAGTTTCGATTTTTTTTTTTTTCAAATTTTTAGATAACGGACTTTTGTTTTTTGAAAAACAAAATCATCTTGAATATATGGCATTTTCGCAATAAAAGGATTTCGAGTCCAACAAAATGTGTGCCCATTGACCATAACTCAAATATCAGTGTGTACCACTGATATTCTTAATAAATTCACAGCTTATTGAGCAAAATAAAAATTATACATGATTTTGAAATTATTATAATAGAAATTAATTAAATAATATTAATCTTTTTAAATTAATAAATATTGTTTTTGTTATTTTATCCCAACAATAAAAATCATAATTTTTCAAGAAAATACTTTCATGAAAAATTTATATTTTTTCACCAGATAACTCAAACAATAAAAAAATATTTTTTGACAATTTATTCTAACAATAGAAAATATCTAATTCTCTTGTAAAATATTTTATCCAATTTTTCTTAACAAATTATCTTCTGATCACCAAACAGGTCTTTAAAGATCAAAATTTCGGCAGATTTACACCTTCGGAGAAGGCTTTTTTTCTCTATAGCCAAGGCAAATATGAATGAATGCAGATTTCATTGACAAAATAGACTTTATATAATCCTTTTCCTTCAGCATTTAACATATGAAAATTGAATTAGAATGTCAATGCTAAAGCAAATACACAACAGAAATGGAGATGCACATAAGCTGAACAGACAAAACCAGAAAAAATAACCTCTTCTCTCATTTGCCCAAAGTTGTGCGCAATCCAATCAACTAGGTTTACCGCTAGCGGCTTTTCTTTCTTTTTTTTCTTTTCTCTTTCTTTTTTTTTTAAATTTTGCTTTCCAATTACGAGCACCATGTTCCGCAAGTCCCACCAGCAAGGGCCCCAAAGGGATCTCTGACATGATTCATATACATTCAGACTATACTAGGGGGATCCCCCGCCCAATTACAAACGGCACGAGGCCAGCGCGTTCTAATGCAATCCACCAATGGTGCATGCTGAGGAGGTTCAGGTTTAGCCACTTCAGTGTCTTTCCCACTTGATTCACTCCCCGCAGCACCAGATGGAACTGCTACATCCGCCATGAATTCCTCTGGTGTCCACCTTGGGGGTACTGAAACCCTCAACTTTGTAAGCCTGGGTCTTTGTATTGGAGTCTCACCTCCAGATGTGGCTTGGCTGCCATTCAAATCTGATTTTGCAATCCCATTAAAATGGTAAAGATCAAACACCTTTCTACCCATCTGACCAGTTGAATCCTTTAAACCCCCCAAGCTCTTGTCTAAGTCCAAAATAACCTGCCAGAACTCACTCCACACAATGAAGCCCGAGCTGCAAAGGCTATCAAGTTTCTCAGATGGAAGTCTGATATTCGTCTCCCTGAGGACCTGATGGAAACCTTCCACACTAATGAAGCCACCACCGCCACTCTGATCTTGGGCATCAAAAGCTTTCCGGATCTGTGATTCCCTTTCTTCCAGTTCATTCTCATCTTGAACAGCTGTATCCAAAGCAAATAGCACCGTATAATGGGACTCACTCCCAACAACCCATATTGGCCATTTTGGGCATTTTAGATTTTGGCCAACCTTACAGAAATTAAGGGATTCTAGAAGAGTGAGGAATCCAACTTCCACATTTGTAGATATACCCTTCAAAAACATGCCGCCACCTAAATCCATCCTTCCATCAAAAACATTTGGAACAGCTTGCCCACAGAGCAATAGGTTCACAATTTCCTGAAATAATTTTTGCATCAAATGCAGCTACATAGCAAAAACTCATCAAAGATAGCAATACAGAGACTTAATAATGTAAGTACCAAATTTAAGATATCAAAGCCCTATCCATTCAAGGGACATATGCAATTTTATGTACCTGAGAAGCATGCCCAAACGGTGCAGTTACTAGAGGAAGGCTGGGATCATCCCGGTCAGCTTGAACCCAGTCCTAGATAACATTCAGATGCACAGATATTGTTTTTAAGAAAACAAAACAGTCTCGACATACAGATAATGCTTGTTCTTAAAAATTTAAGAACATGATAATAAAAGTAAGCGAGAGAGAAAGAGAGATCATTATATAGCTGTTGAAACATTGACGCATAGATAAAGACAAAATGGGAGTCTTCAAGTGTTAAAGCAAACAAACCTACCAATCCTCGAGAAAGTAATGCAGAGATAAGGAATAGCAATGCTCCCATGCGACTTTGAAAAACAGGAATCATTGCTTCGAGCCTCTTAAAGGCACTTGCAGGTGTTGTGTATGTGTCAACTCTTAAAACTTTCTGCAAATCAGAAGATGTTTCAATTGAAAGACCTTCAAGTGCTTGCACAATGGTCTGTAAGATAGATGGAAACTTATCAGCAAAGAACAGATAAAACGATATACACACAAAATTACCAACATAATAACAACAATTCAAGTTAACCTAATTCCACTAACCACATCCTTTGGACTGTCTTCAGATCCTTCAATGCCATAGCCAATAGCATTCAAAGTTGCAATTACAGCTCTTTTATTATTTCCACATAAAAACAATATCTCACCCATACTTTTAACCAGGGCTCTGTAAACAGAACAAAATTAAATTGAATAATAGATAACAGAACAAACAATTAATGCATTGCAAAGCAGCAGCAAAACTTTTAAAGAACAACAAATATCCATTCAAATTGATTATTCCAGAAATGAAGTAAAACATGACAGAGAGCAATACCAGTCCACATGACAAGCAATCATGAATATCCATTAAGATTTGTCACAAGATTTCACATTACTTCAGATCTTGACATTCTTGGATGATCATTTCTAAAACTGAGCTAAAACCTTAAATCAAAACACTAAGAAAATATTCAAATATACCCCATGGCCCATTAGCCCATTTTATATATGCAAATGTGCCTGTGTGTTTGTGCCTGTGCAAACACACATACAAAAGGAAAGTGCAAATGCAACGTGACTTTTCTCTGATATTCTGATCGCAAACAAGAATTTCACAAGCATAAAAGCATATTGAACTGAATTCCTAAGAAATCCAATAAAAGGAAGCACACGAGTGACAATTACAAGTTTAATATAACAAAAACAAATATGTGAATCTGCAGGAAAAGAATTAACATTGTTGGATAACACAACTAATACAGCGTGAACAGTTGAACCCCTGTTTTTTTACATGAAATATAAAGCTATAAAACCTTGAAATGCAAATAAAAGCATGTGCCTTGGCATGGTTTAGTGTATATTGCACAATTTAACATACAAAATTAATCACCTTGCTTTTGCATCTTCAGTAAAAGCAGCAAAATTATTTAACGCAACATATTGATTTTTGGATGATCTCCTGGAACTCAAATTCTGTGGTATGTTCGGTGTAACTTTAACTAATTCATCCGGAAAGAAAAGAAGATGTTTGAGCACAAATGCCTGTACAGACCGATAGATAGTATAGTCAGCAATAAGAGTACTAATACCATCATGAGATAAACAACAGAACAAACAAAAATGTTGAAAGGCTATTTAAGGAGGAGGCCATTCATAAGATTTAGGCTAAGACACAACCTAGCAAATATCCAATTACACCATCAACTCAACATCTACTGAGAATTTTCCCTAGCAATTAATCACCTATGTCAGTAGCATAACAATAAAGAAAAGTGCAGCAATGGCAAAAATAACTGTTTAAAATCTTACAAGGTTAGACTGAAGTAATTATAGTTAAAATGGATACAATTTTCCATAGCATATTTAAACACCATTCAATAATATGATTACTCTATTAACAATTAACAATTATAAAACAAGCTATCCCACTGAAATAACATTCTTAACAAATTTTAGTGAGTTTATTAGTGTCAGTGTAGAAACTTAGAACATTCAGAAGATATAATGTAAGTAAGTTCTGGTGCAACATAAGAAAAACATATAATTGTTGAACGCATTAGGAATTTCAGATGGCATAAAACAATTAATTAGCAATTCACATGCTGCATGCTGCAAGAAACTCATATAACTGAGAAATAAAGGAATTACTTGTATGGTTGCTAAGACACCACAGGGCCCACCTTCATGCTGCACTAGGCCCATAGAAGTTTCTGGATCAGGGCTAAACCTACAGGATTTTTTGTCACATATGAGCCAAAATAAAGCAAACATATGAAACTTCCTCAATATTGCAAATGGTTTGTAACATCCCAAGAAACTCATATTTCCATAAAAATCAAAAGCCAAAAAGCAAGAAGAAGACAAAAACTAACAGGTAAGAGTTTTCAATGAAGAACAACAAGTCTACCAGAGACTCTGCTAAACCAGTAACTACCAAGCTCGGTTCATAACAAATATACTAGAAAATGATAGGAAATGCAGAAGAAACAGTCATAACCAATCAATTGCAAATGCATCAATAGCCTGCTAACCTGTGCTGGTATATTTAACCAATCAATGTGCATAAACACAGAGATACAGCAATTAAACCAAAATTTTCCCTCAGAATACTATCTATACTTGGTATTTGACAATGAAGAAAATCAGGGAGGTACTTTTGCACTTATGGGAAAAAGTATAAAGGTACACTGCATAATATGAATTTAAACACCTCATACATGAATAAAACCTTTAACATTTTAACTCTGGCTCATTTACAACCACCCCCACCCCCCACACATACAAACAAAACAGAAAACAGACAACACCTTTTCTGATGAAGGATTACATCTTCAAGGACTATTCATCACAATGTGCGTTAGAAGGTTTTCAGTAAATGCATTCTTGTTTCAGAGCATACTTTCTTATATTGTGCCTTGACAATATGAAACTTCATTATGAATTATCTTTGAGTGCTCATAGCATTATTATTGTGTATTCTGATCAAAACCTTAGCATTCCAGATAACAAAAGAAATTTTGTGCTGGCAGTTTATAACTGTGTACAACATATTTACAACTCATATCTAAGATCCTTCAATTTAAGATTTTCCAGTTCTTCTCATGCTTCTTACTGGTTTAGAGTCACCTCTTAGGCTCATACCATACATCACATCAAAGATAAGTTCCTATATCAATATTCGGACAAGGTCTGAACTTCTGTATGCAGTAAACTGGCTCGCTTGTTGGTAGGAGGACAGCCAGGGTAGTTAGGATTTTATGGATTAGTATCTAGGATTTTTAATGGTGATCAGATAGGAAACTTTAGAAATGTAAAATTAAGACATAGTCAACTAACATAAAGGGTGATCAAATAAGAAAATTTAGCTTAAAGGAACATATATTAAAACTTGCATTCAACTAATTAAGTTTTGGGTATTAGAACCAACCTTAGCTCACATTTTAAACACTTTTGAAGGCTGCTAAAAGGATGCTCCATCATCAAGCATTTCAGCCTCTTGCTGGTTATTTCTTCATTATTAGACATCTCAATAGAATGCTAGTAAGGAGGAACAGATTCCAATCTACAAGTTACTAGAGTTATGTGCTAAGAAAAGCTCTATAACAACTTTAAAAAATTTTCTATTAACAACATAATGTGTTGCACATTGGAGCCTTAATATTAACTCTAAAAGTCTTAAAGTTGAAGAGGAAAAAGTTAAAGCTATTGAGGAATGGCCAGCCCTACTACATTACATCAAGTTCAAAGTTTTCATGTGTTGAAAAACTTTTATAGGCATTTAATTAGAAATTTCAGCACTAATAATGATGCTCATCACCAATTGCATGTATGAAAGGCATTTAGCTGAGACAGTATCTCAATCTTTCAAATAAGTCAAAAAAAAAAGGATGATGATACCTCTTAGGGCTGAGCAACGATTCAATCAGTCAGTTTCGATCATGGAGGAGACCATAACCGACCAAACTGACCATGGTGGCGGAACTGACCACCCCCGACTGAATTTGGTGGGGAACCAACCAGACCATGACCAACCATGGTCGGTTGGTTATGCAATCAATTATGGGTTTTGGGCTTTGGCTTTGGGTTTGGGAATGGTGGAGGCCAACAACCTGCATTGACTTGACCTGTCCAAACCATGCCTCCCGATCATTGAATTTTCTCTTAGTCAACCATGATTTTCGAGCAAAGGCCAGACAACGGTTTTGATGTTAATTAATATGTTTCCATGCCGATATAAAGGATGTAATGCAATGCATGTAATAGATGAAAAAGTTGGCTTGCTTTTTTTTCTCCTCCGTTCGTCCCTGTTATTGCGTTTGTAAACAGAGTCTGTTAACCAGTAGACTCATTTTTATCATGCCTTAGATTAAAAGAAAAACACCCTTTGCAAATTTGAACAAAAAAAGAACCTATACAAGCTCAACCCATGTCAGTGACAGTCCTTGACTATCTTCAACAAGATGAAGGTTATTGAACAAACTGATGTCAGTCACAGCCCCTTTATTTGAACAAAACAATGAAGGTTAGTTAACAGAAAACTTCAACAAGATCAATCACAATTATATTACAGAATTACCCAACTCCAAAAATTTAAAAAAAAAAGGAAAAGAAAAATGGTGGTCGGTTATTTGGTCAGTGTCAGGCAGAAGGGTTCCCAATTGACGACCAAGCCGATAAACCATAAAAGCCGATGCCCTCAACTGGCTCCTCAACCAGAGCCAATCAACTGACCGGTTTCTGACCAAAAATTGTCGACCTCGATCAGTTGGCCAGTTTCAACCGCCCATTGCTCAGCCCTAAAACCTCCTATGTTACATCTTCCAAGAATCTGTATGATGTTTGGCATGACACATGATTCATCATACAGGAATTATGGTGCACTTGACCAAGATGATCATCCAATTGCTTAGTTTCAAAAGAAGAAAAATGAACCAAAACAGAGGTATTCAACTTATGAGAAGGAACTCAACATATGGTCCAAGTACATTTGATCACTGGATTGCCTGGTAATAAGAAACTAAATGAGCAAAAACAAAGAATTCAACTTTTGAGCAGAAATTCCACATTGAGGTCCAAGTACATTGCATGGAAAAGTGTCACTAATTGATTGTTAAGATTAAGCACAAAGTTAAAATTGATAGAAAAAAGGCTATTGATGCACTTAGCGAAGTGGTGTAAACCTTAACTTTTATGGCTATCATCCTACTTATGGGCTTTGATTTGCTGGAGAGGCTACCCATCCTGCAAAACTGTAGCATCTTACATACATATTTATTAGCTGCAGAACATGCAGATTATCCTGAGTTTCCCCTATAATAGTACCATCTCGTCAGAGAACTTTTCTTTCCTAAGTCATCCTTAAGTGAAGAGCTGATTTGCAAATAGCATTACATAGCAGCAACAGGCCATTCGGATGGGATAAGATCATTATAAGGATTGAGCATCAACTGGGCCTAGTTTGAAAAGGGATATTGCTAGGATTGTTTCCCAATGTCAGACTTGTCAAACATAACAGAAGAGAAAGCAAAACACAGGTTCATGGATGACATTTCCACTACCAACACGAGTCACAGAAGAATTCAATTAAGGCAAAAGTTTATTAAACCCACGGAAGGAAACGTGGCCTAGGCATGGATTAGACTGAAAGGTAACATAAATGTGCAAATAAGGAGCTTCATCCAATTGGCATTTCTTTTCCCTACAACATTTTCATGAAAATTACCTTAAACACTCACATACTTGACTTCTTTAATTGTATGGGAATGAGTAACGTCCTTGACTTCATATGGTTTCTGAGATGAAGAAGCAACTATTAATGCTATGTTGTTACAAGGCTTTCTCCTATCGCAAAACATAAGAAATTAGCTTAAACGCTCACGTACTTGACTTCTGTAATTGTATGGGAATGAGCAGCGTGCTTGACTTCATATGGTTTCCCAGATGAAGAAGCACATATTAATGCTATGTTGTTACAAGGCTTTCTCCTATCGTACAACATAAGAGATTGAAAGCATTGTTTACCAGTAAGTGTTTCTACTTGAGGGAGTAGACATTAGAAGTTTCACAACATGAAAGTTGCGACTTGATGCTATATACTTAGTATATTTAAATCTAGCTGCCAATTTATCCCGTGATCAATATCCTTAACCACCATATTTAGTTAAAATTCAATTGAGCAATGAATATTATTATTTCTTTTCCTCGCTTCTAGTCTCTCAGCAGTAATTTTTCATTTTGAGAAACATGAAAACTAATATCTTGGAGTATAAATAAAAAGCTAGACTTTACCTTATACCCTGATTGCTCCACTGAGCAAGTATATCCTTCGAAACCCCACTCCCAAAAACCATCGAAAATAACTGATAAGCTTCTTCCTCCGACAATTCATTACCCAAATTCGCTTCCTTGGCTTTCATTTCAGTCTCTTTCCTTCCTAAATCTCCGCTCCTTTCGCTTTTCGAAGGGGAACTAGAAGCCGGAACGCTTTTAGCGGCCGCCAGCATCCGTTTCTCAGCTGCGGCTGCCATGAGTTCACGCTGCAACCGTCGGCTCTCCTCCGGCGTCGTCGTAGCTGAGCTAACAGCTTCCCTCGGCTTGCTCCTCTTAGGCTCTGGCGGCGAATTTTGCATGCTCATCCGTAGAGCCATTCTCAGGTCCTCTTCTTCTTGTTGATCCGCCATTTGATAACCACCGTTGGATCAAAATTTAGCAATCCAAGGTTCGAAACAATTGAATTTATATGCAGATCAATTGAATTTAACAGAACCGTTATTTTTCAGATGGCTATGTATTTGATTATGACTTGGATTCTGTAAATGATAAAAAGATAAGAAAAAGATTTGGGTTTTTTACAAACCCTAAACAGCAAACTAGGGTTTCGAATTTCAGGCCAACTAGAACGAACTGGACGTTAAAGCAGAGTGGAAATTCCGTTTTCAAAGCACAAGAACGATGGATAAAAAATCTCGATTGAATTAAAATAGGAAAGTGGCTCGTAAGGGGTAAAAACTGAAGGTGGTCGCCCTCCGGTTAACATTGAATACGATGCCGTTTGCCAAGATGAATGGCCCTATTAGAATTACGATTTCAGCCCTGACGTGTTGCACTTGAACACGGGGTTAGTTAGTGCGTCGGTGGGAGTGAATTTGGGGCAAAAGGTAAGGGTATTTTGGGGAATAAAGCTTGATGCTTTTCTTTTACGGGGAGGAAAGGCGTTTTCGTTTGCTGGAGTGTCAGGGAATCTATGCTGAGTAAATTTGGGATTGGAGGACGGTGGGGTCACCAAAAATGCATTTGGAGGTGAGCTGAAAATGCGATCTGCTGTGTTAATCACTGTCACCATGTGAATTTTGATTCATTTAATTTAATTAATAACTTAATAAATCACATATTGATTAAATTTATTGTTTATTTTTTTAACTTCGGTTGGTACGTAATTATTTGTTGGACTACTGTTGGCATAAAAATCTAAATTTGTGATACTAAAATTAAATTATTCAAAATCGTTAATCAAAATATTAATAAACAAATCAAGAATTGCATGCTATATTAAATTATAGAATATTCTGTGGTACTACTTTTTTCCTTCAGACTTGTAGTCATAAAATCTACATTTTGAGTGTTAATCAAATTATTAACGTTGTATCATGAATAGAATCAAATTGTAAAATTTTTAATGATTCTAATTAATAAGCAAAACCAACTCTTTTAATGTGTATTAAAGGAGTATAAGATCAAGTCGATTAATTCAGTTAATTTAATTAACAAGATCAATTATGTCTAGTTGATTTGGTTAAAAAAATTTGAAATCAATTAATCAAATTACTCAACTTTGTATTTCTTATTTTTTAAAAGATAAGCAAAAGCCATCCATTGATATAAAAAGTCCATTTATAGTCACTCAAGTCTTTAAAAGTCTTATTACTTACTTTAAATAGTTTTATAAACTAATAATTAATTTTAAGTTAAATTATTTTATTTTTTTGGTTAAAACAAATTATAATTGAATAGCTCTTTCGAAAAATGTGTAAAAAAAATCATTCATTGGGAAAAAAATTTCATTTATAGTCACTCATTCCTTCAAAAGTCTTATTACTCGCTTTAACTGGTTTTATAATGTCATAATTAATTTTAAGTTAAATTTTTTCATATTTTTTATTAAAACAAACTATAATTAAATGTCTACCTCAAGAAATATGAAGAAAAACGCATTCATTAGAAAGAAAAAATCTATTTATAGTCATTTATTCCTTTAAAAACTTTATTACTTACTTTAAATGGGTTTGATAATATCGTAATTGATTTTAAGTTTCATTTATTTTTACATTTTTAGTTAAAACAGATTATAATTAAATATCTACCTCGAGAAATATGAAGAAAAAGATATTCATTGACTCAAGTCAAAAGTATTTCATGTGTCCCTATATTATAAGATTTTCATCAATTTAATCTCTTTACTCCAAAACGGGTTAATTTAATCCATCTCTTTACTCTGAGACGGGTTAATTTCACTATTATTTTTGCTAACGTGACATTGAGGTGTAAAAAATACTAACATAACACTGATGTGTCAAACAAAAAAAATATTGACCGCATGGATTTTTCTTTTGTTTTTTTTTCCTTCACTCTTTTGTCCAAAACTACGTTGTGTGAAGTCTACTATTTAAAGCACTTTTGTTTTTTTTTTTTTCATTTTCCTTCTTTAAATCCTTCTTTAACTTTCATTCCTTCTCTACTTGCCCTTCTTTCCATAGATTTCGATTCCCAAACCCAAATTTTGTCCATCAATCAACATTGTCATCGATCACTAGTAGTCAAAAAAATTTAACTAAAAATACCCAAAAAAAATTCATTTTTGGTCACTAGTGAGAAAAATGTTGTAGATTTTAGAACTTAGAACATTAAATTTGAATCATTTCCTTAATCAAAGAAAATCATATAATGAAAAAAATGTAGTACATATTAAAAAGGAAAAAGAAAAATCCGCATAGCAATTGGCATATCATGCCACAACAACATTGCAAGTCCAAGGCATTTTGGATATCTTAGATTTGTGCTTAATCTTGTCAAATGAAATGATTATTAAGCTAAAAGCAAATTGATGAAGTGCTTGGTCAAGAGAAAGCATTCAATCAACATAACTTAACCAGACCAAAATTATCGAGTTATTTCTTGAAAAATTATTCGAACAAGAAAGGATAAAAAATCCATTTCTATCAAAGAAAAGCTATTACTTTCATGCTTTTTTTTTTTTGAAAATTGTCAACAAACTAGAAAATATTTGTCTTTAACAAAAAAAACCAAATTACAACATCTTGAATATCACAAAATAGATAAGAAAATATTTTTCAAAAAAGCACAAAAAAACCAATAAAATTTACAAAACTAGCAACAAAGAAATATACAAATTTGGAAAATAAATAATAAACCCGAAAACTTAACAAAATCAAAGATAGAAATTATTGAGGCTCTACAATCTCCTGAACCAACCAACTCATGAGGTACCCACAGGGAAACCAACTCCAACATCAAGAATGTTCTCGTGCCTCTATTGTCATAACAAGTTTCGCACTTCTTAAACTCTTAGTGGTCACCATAATGCTCACAAGCATGAATGATCCCTCTCCCAACCTAAGCACGCCTTATTGGATCCAACCCTTCCCACTTTTCCATGGCTCCTCCACCTTTACTCCTTTACACCTTTTGAGTTTTTTTTTCTTTTTTTACACGTTTATGATTTTAGATCTAGGATAATTAAGATAAACCCGAGTAAGGGAAATAAGGTGAACAATGAATTTTTTATACGTTTTATTACATTTTTTGACCACCAGTGACCACTACAATATTTTTATCCTTTTATTGCATAATTTTAGTTGCATTTATTCTAATGTAACTAAATTCATCATATTACACTTAATACATTCCATTTAATTACACTATTTGAAGTGTAATCACATAAAAAAATTAAGAGAATAGAAACCCATTAAATAAAAGCAACCAATGGCCCATGAAACAGCCTAAAAAACAAAAGCCCCTTACCTTTTACATTCAATGCTTTTTTCTTGGAAAATCACCTTAAGTTTATACCTCTTTTTCTAGTTGCTCAAATCAACAATCTTCAAAAATTTTTCATATTTTTCTACTCTCAATTTTTCTAAAACAAGTAAATCTCTTTTTCTCTATTCATCAATTCTCTTTTTCTTTCTTTGTTCACTTTTACCATTTGACTACTAAGAAAATTCTCAATTGGCATGGATCTAAAGAAATCCTCAATGATTTTCTCAACTCTTTCGATTTTATGTAATTTTTGTTCATTATTTTTTCAAATCTATGTGAAATTTGAATTTTGAGAGTTTTGAACAAATGTTGAATAAAGTTTTTATTGTGTAACTTTCAAGCAATTGTTCATATTAAGATTTTATTTTCAAAATCCTTCAATTTTCTTTGTTTTTCTTCCCCTTTCCTCTTTTTTATTCCCTTTCACGATTTCTTCCTCTTAAGATTTTTTATTTAGATTTTGAAGGTCCAGTTCCTTGTTCCTCTTTAATTTGAAGGTTTCGTTACCCCAATAGATTTCATTGATTCTTTCATTCAAGTGATAAGTGTGTAACTTTTTTACATGTTCTTTTCAAAAATACCTCATGCATAAGGTGTTTTTGAAAATAACCTTCTCCATAATTTTAATTTT